GGTCCGCCCCTTTCTGGACCCAACACCCTTTCAAAATACAAATTTCGGAGTAAGGACTGCAAACAACGAAAAACAATGTTGGGTGTGTCTGTTTTGAGGCTGCCACGTTCGAGGCTGCTTTACAGGGGAGCCGACAGGAAAGCACTTTTTTTGTTGCTCCCGTATTTGGAGACAACAGTCACTATGGTTGTTCTAAACTGCCCAATCGAAAGGACAAGCAAGGCAAACTATCACCAGCCGAAGAACTACTCCCTTGCAACCGGAAGGTCACATTCTGGGAAGGCGATCGCCTTTGGGTTGCGACCAAACTTGATCGCCAGGTCAAACTGGCAAACAAAAAGTGGGAAACTGGCAAACAAGATATTTTGGGTCAAACTGGCAAACAAAAGCGGAAAGAACAAACAAGACAAATGCCAAGGCCTGAGCACGCTCTGATTTTCAAGGGCTCGCCAATGGAATCCACATCCCACGGAGCCAAAGCCGGCCCAAAGCAATGGATGGGAGTCCTGGAAAGTAAATCGTCATGGCTCAGAACGACGGACAAGGATTTGTCTCAAAAACAAGGGGACCCATAAGATGGCACAATTTTCAAGCAGCAACCGGCTCGGCAGGTCTTTCGGCTGGAAGGGGCAGGCAGCGCGTCCGTTCTGAACTCCAAATGTGTGCGGCCCTGTCAGCCTTTTTGTTGTATTGTCTAGGTCCTCCAGTAGAGAGGTTGGAATAAGAACACCAACTTTTTTCTGTCGTCTATTTTAGTAGGGGACCCCTCCCCCAAAAAAGGGCCAAAGGGCAATAGTGGGGGACCTTGTTGTGATTGGCCCCACCAAACCGCTAGGAACTAAGAGGTCCGATTCACGAATTTGAGCTTGCGCTGGGTTCAATCTTAGTCAGCCTCCGGTGCTGAATCACACGCGGTGGGAAACCGTCTCACTTTGGTGACATTTTCTAAGTTGGCCCTTGACCCAGAACTATAAGGTGCTCACCTTTGGGGCCACTTTTCTATGGTTACCCAAAGGGAAAACCAGGTCAGATCAGGCCGATTCGCGTTATTTGCGAGCGAGTTTTGCCGTGGATGGACGAAATCCTGCACCACTGTTCCGAAACGCTGGAATGATTCGATCCCCTCTGAATCCGAACAATGGCACCCATAGTTGCTTACCTAGATAGCCAAATTGCTGCTTTTTTTGTCAGTGTTGCTGGTTTTTGGGGTAAAGTGGATGGAACAAAAACAGCAACTGGCGATAGGGGTAGGTGGTGCGAGATGGACTTCGTCCATCCAAAGTATCAGCATGGCCCCACCCTTGGACACGACTGGGGCCCGCACAGCTTCAGCGAGAAGGGCGTCAATCCCGCCTCCAGAACCTGCCGCGGGGACCGAACAAATGGACCTTTGACTCCTCTCATCCGATCGAGTGGATTGATTTGCAACAAAAGTCAAACTTTTGTTTACCGAAATGGTCCAGACCCAAAAGTGACTAAAGTCCGAAACAAAACTCAGGGAGTGAGTGACTGGCTGGTGGGAAAAACCTTCAATTTCATATTGTGGATGGACCAAATCCCTTGGGTATGGGTCAAAAATTGAACCACTGGTTTTAGACTTTTTTGTCCATTTACCAGGGTGCCATTTTTAGGTACCTATTTTTCACCCACAGCCACTTACCAGGTATGTGGTTTATGCATCTCATCCATGCCTGGTGCGAAATGGCTTGTTTTCTCGACAAACACCATCCAAAACCCAAACAAAACTGGCAGTTCTTGTGATTCTTTTTGTTAGAACACACTGGTGAACAACATGGTGGATCAGCCAGCGGCAAAAACTGACCCCCTTCTCAGTTGCTCCCTGAAAACCATCCGAATATAAGGATCATATTGCATCCCTTGCCATTGGACATGGAACACCACTAGGCAACGCTTCCTTTTTTGGAGGGCCGCCTCAAGAATGAATACAAATGAAACCAGCCTACTTGGGTGTCATTGTCCTTCAGGTTTGGCAATTTGAAGGTGAAATTCCTAGAGGGTACACTCCATGAACCTGGACCCTGGCAATAGGTGTCCTAAAACTGCACATTGACCAGTGCTTGGCAAGAAACGTGCAAAAACGACACAATGCTCCGGGATACGGTCCAACTCAAGAATGGCCCTCAAGCACCTCTGACCATTGATGGAAAGGGGGAACACCGTCCCCTTGCTCGAAGAGGGCTAACACCATGGGTGTTAAAAATGAGGGGCCCACTTGGGAGCCTTGTTTCCTTTTCGCCCGCCTCTAAAAGGGAATCTCTAGCTTTGACAACCGGCCACCATCATTGGCGTCCTTTTTGGGAAAATAGATGGCGGTAGTTGATTGAACCACCAGGTAAACCAGGGCCCTCTGTATTTTTTCAACCAATCCAAAAGGACACCTATGCCCACCAATTTCTCTCCGCGCGGGAATACATGCGCGGGAAGTCCGGGGCCCGGCGAAGCCCAGGTCTGGACTGGAGGAATGTTTGTGTTGTTCGCGTCGTTTTCTAACGCGGCCCATGTGCTGTGCGTTTCAACGCTGCCCAGTCTGCAAGTTGGGCAACGTCAAATCACGCCGCCCGCAGTTGGACAAGTTGCAAACGCCCATGGCTAAGGCCGAACCTAAGCGCCCCATTTCCCGAGCTGCCATCCCAGGGCCCTGGCTACGGCTCGAGCGGCTCTGGCCTCCTTGTAGCCCAAGTGCTGCTCGCAAGTCAAGACCTCCAACAGGACCTCCCGGAACTCTGCAGTCCGACACCCCTTTGTGGAAACGGTCACAACTGGGTGTGTCTTTCGAACCAAAAACCACCTCTTTGGTTTGTTTTAAAGAAACAAACAGAGGCAGAAACATCATTTTGGGGGGACCACGTATAGTAGAAGACCAGCGGCCCGAAAAAAGGTGTTGCACCACGCATGTGTGAACGCACTGCCGCGCTGCAAATCGCGAAACATTTTGCGGGCGCAGCAGTTGTCGCCAGCCTTGGAGCACGCTGAAGTCTAGGCATCGTGCAGATCTTGCTCAGCGCTCGCTGTGGCTCGGTTGACGTTGGAAGGGAGCAAAACAAATTGTTTAGCAGTCAAGCGGGAATTTAACACTAAACCACAACCACAATAAGCAAAAATGTAAATGTTTCCCAACAACAACTATGCTATTTGGCTGCGGTGCTATTTGGCTGCGCAATACGGCTGCCGCGCCCATTGTTGTCTTACTTTTGGGTGTGTCGGAGCTGCGAAACTGCACTTCGCGGACTGCTCTTGCGCTGTACATTTTGCGACGTTCATACCGGAGCTTCGTCAAGTCAACGCACCGCCTTCGTACTTGATGTCTCGCCGAAGCTGCGCCAGCGCGTCGCGCGCTTTTGTGCCCAAGGTTTGCGATTTTCAAGCCGGAACTGCGGTGTACTTCACGTAGCACTCTCGCACGGGAGTGCGAGAAATACTCGAGGCTCGCCCAGGCCACGGGCGATTCCAGCCTCAGGCTGCTGGCTTCGAAGCGCCGTCGTGCAAACCACGAAGCAAAGGTTCAAGTCCACTTCCCCAGAGGGTTGCTTGGTACCTGAGGTACTTAGACCCTCACAGAAGCCATCCTCATGAGATACTTGGACCCACTGGGTTCTTAACATTCTGATCTCCACAGAGGGCCCTGCGGGGTTGAACATCGACCACGCTGATCCGCGCAGAGCGTTGTGCGCGCGCACCGCAACAGGCAAAAACCGTCATTTTTGAAACATCTCGTGTAACTTCCTTCAGCAATCCCTCATGCAACTTGTACGTGCAACTTGCTTTGCAAACCTCTCGTGTATCTGCCTCGTCAACTAACAACCTCTGATGTAACTTGCTTGTGTAACTTGCCCCAGCAATCTCTCATGCAACTTGCAAGTAAAATTTGACCTGCGCAATCAACGCCCTATGTTTCCTGAAAAACCCTTCGCACTGCTTTCGGGAAACAAGACGCACCCCAAGTGAGGATTGTTTTTAACCCCTTGTGGGGCTCTCGCGACCTGACTGTCTCGTCTCTGTGTGTGAGCTGATCTTCCGGAATGTGAAAACCAGCTGTGAAGCACAGTGAGATCTTTGCATGCTGGGCGGAGCCATTGCATCCCAAACATCCCCAACTCCAGAAGTCACCGCGAGCTGGACAATTTCCCTTCCCACGAAGGGTGCTTTTGGGAGGTACCTGAAAGATTTCCCTCTCGGGTGCTCTAGTGGGAGGGAGGGCAGCTAAAATGGCCCTTTCGGGAATCGGTTTTGGGAGCTGCTCACGTCGTGCCTCCTCCGCCACTGTACCTCAGCCGCGAAGAAGTTGTTTCGATTGAACGAACGGGCCAAGTTGGCCAAAGCGGATGCTAGTTGATTGTAAATCGCTAACTTAGCAAATGGAACTGCCCATTTAAGACCTTTTCAATCCATGCCTTGGGGCCCTCATAATCTCGTGGGAAGCGTGGGATGAGTGGCACGTTCTCTTGGGTTTCCCCGAAGAAACCAAAAACACAGATACCCAGGTCTCCTTCTGACCCTTTAAAAATGGTTGGTCATTACCCTAAATAATGGGGTCATGGACCTATTTTTAAAGGGTCATGGAGACTCCAGGTAGAAACTCCAATGGGCTTCAGCGACCGAGCTGCACTTGCCCACAAAGTTCTTCTTCAGCCACAGCAGCACCCACTGCCTCATCTTGCGACTGAAGCTGTTCACTGTTCCCTGTTCTGCCTTTTAATGGAGCATACGGTGAATGCCCCAAATATTGCAAGTAGGGAACGAAGGAAACCCTGTAAATTCCCATGGTTTGTCGTTGAGTTACTTGCAATACTTGGGGCATCCATATTCCTTGGTTTTCAACCACCGATTCGGGCACCGATTCCTTTCGAAACCCTTTCAAGGATCTTGTGGATTGCAAGAAAGGGGCCCGTCAACTGGGCAAAAAGGCAACCCAGCGGCACCAAGGGTGGCTTTTCCGTACCGTTTTTGCACCTTGGTATGGTTGCCATTTGGCAGCGGGTCAAAAATAGGTACCCAAAATGGCTTGCCCGATCGGTAAATGGAACCAAGCACTAAAACCTGCGATCCGAATCCTGGAGGTTGAATTTTGATCCACAGCCATTTGGGGTACCTATTCCGTATTCATAGAACCAAGGGAAGGTCCTGGACTATCATTTTAAAACCAACCCTTCTGATGAGATGTAGTCATCCAAATAAAAGCAAAGTTGACATGACAGCGCCTTCCAAAGTTCGTCAAATGGCTCAAAGTCAATTGGTCGGTGAACGGATCTGGGATCTCAGGGAATTCTGAGGCCCTTGTGGGAGATTGTGTTGAAAAGTAGTTCCAAAACCTAGGAGCAATTTGCAAACCACCGGTGGCTTAACTTTTCACACCTTCACCTTTCTCCCGGGAAAAACAAAAAACTCTTTCAGACTTGTTGGCACGTTGTTGTAGACCCAAGCCACCAAAGCTTAACTGGGCACACTTTTCCTGATGCATGTGCAACCTGCCTTCTGAGCACGCACCGACTGGATAGCTCGTTGGGCCTTGTTTTTCTGCGAGCGCAAAAGCAGCGCGCGTTCTGAAGCTGCAGGCTTCAGTCCTCCAAGTCTTCGCTTTTCTGGCCGCCTTCGCGCGAAAGCAAGCGCTTGCAAGTGCGCCAGCATGAATCACTTGCTCCGGGAAAAAGAGAAAGAACGGAGGACCAAGGTTGACACAGGATTGATCAACTCCCAGTTGAGTTATGATAAGGTATGCGCCCCCATTTTGGAGGGGATCCTTCAGACACACCCCCTTTCTATCATAATCCAACAGGTTCAAAAATACCGCGGACGACATTAGAACCCAACAAGGGGTCCCTTTTCGTAGACAATTGTCTTCCAGGACCCCTCAGCCGGGTTTCAAGCGCGTGCATGGGAGGGGCAATTCCCTTCTATCACGCTGCCCATTCTAACATTAAAAACAGAGAATCCAAGACCCAAGTTTGCACCATGTTTGGCTGGTCTGGGGTTCCCAAAATGAAACCTGCCTTTAGCATTCCATGGCTTAATCCACCTATCCACGTATGCTATCTTGGAATCACAATTTCTTGTGAAGCCAGGGATCGTCATCAGAGAACACCATGGTGTATGGCCTGATTGCCATTTTTAGGGAACTGCTCGTCATCTAGACGAATCAGCCCAAATGTGCCAACCAAGATTTTGTTTGGTTGAATATGTGCCACTTAAACATATGCGCAATTGCATGAACATGACAACGTACAAACAGCATAAGGCATCCATGCAGCAACATCAAAGTACAAATCTATGTGGATGGAATGTGAATGGAATACACATAAAGTGGACCAAGCAACTGGCGGCTCCAGCAAACATGATTGACTTGCTGAGGTCCGTTGTAGCGATTTCCATTTGACAGAGCCGTGCCAGCGAGTTGTCACAGAGATGCATACATCAAGGATGGATCACCATCAATGCTCCACTGGACCAATGAAACAGTTCGATCTGATTTCCAAGAATAGTAATATGGACTGTGAGCCAAACTGCGGTGCACGTAGTGCGTGGCTGAATGAGTCTGGTTGAACAAGGCTGTGTTGGTGAGATGTCTCAAAAGGGGCTAAGACATACACATGGGCGCTTTAGTGGATGCCACCCTTCCCCCCGGCCCCAGAAGTTGCGCTCACTGACAAGGGAGTTGCGCGAGTTAGCCCGAGCTCCATCAATGATGCTTGGTTGACGTTGGGGGAGCAACAAATTAAACTTTAGCAGATGAGTGGGTGGATTTCCACCACAAAACCACAATAAGCAAAAAGGTAAAGTGTTTCCCAAGAACAACCAATGCTTGTCACTTTCTCGATTCCGAGCCTCGGGGAGGGGAGCGCAATTCCAGGTGGACCCTTCAGACCAATTCCTGATTCGGGTTTTTCAAGGAAGGAAATGTGTCCGATGGTCTTTTCCCTTAAGCAACATGATGTCCAACGCGTTCATGTCCAGGTTTCAAAAATTATGTGTTGAGACATCATTTGCATGAATCATCCAAAGCTGTCAATGGAGCAACATATGAGCAAACTAATAGAATTCACGCGGAAACCAAAATGGAACCCCCCCAAGAAAGGAGCTTTCGCTTTTTTTTGTCTATTTCCCCAGAGAAATCATGATCCCTGAGGTGGGTACCTATCTTTTTGGTTGGTTGAACTGGCAGCCCGTTGCCATTTCCCCTACGGTTGTTCAGGGTCCCCGAATAGGTCCCCCCCCATCCCAATACGCGACAGAACTCGACCAAGGCCTATTCGGCTTTCCTCGGGTTCCTTTTTTGGGGTGTCCCTCTTTGGGGCCCCAAAACCATAGGAACGGTGGATGCCCCAAATATTGCAAGTAAGTCAACCGACAAACCATGGGAATTTACAGGGCTTCAAATTTGTTCCCTATACTTGCAAGATTTAGGGCATCCGCCGAACTTCCGGGGCTGGAGACCTCGTAAAGCAGATCGGCACCCGCCTCTCTTTCGCAGCAAGAAGGCGCTCTCCCCCGTCGCTAAGTCCAGGGGTGTCCGCCCGTACCGGTCCAGGCAATTCACCTCGCTGACCAAAACAAACACATGGCCGGGCCCGTTTTCCGATCCCCTTCTGCAAGTGACTAACTTGTGGTGGGTTAAATGGAAACTACCACTAAACCCTAAAATCCTAAAAAACTGGGAAGCTAAGGGGTCGGCTACACATTCCTGACTGAAATGCCATAGGAACCTTCCCCTCATTGGTTTTCTTATTTAGTGCGTGGAGACCTCAAAGAACAAGTGGCGTGCCCAAAATTCAACAAGAATTCAAGCCTGACTGGGCGGGTGTTTCTGGGCGACCGAAGTGGCAAACATCATAAACTTGACTGACAGAAGCCTCTACCACAGCTGAGCTAGTTTTGCAAAGCTGTCCGAATGTTTGGCACCCCATACTCAAATTGATCAAACGAATCCCTAACATGTCACTTCAATCTGCAAGTGTCATAGTCATTCCAAAAATTAAGGGTCCCCCCAAAAAAAGGAACGTGTAAATATTAGTATGGTGCCAGATGATTTTCCTTTGAACCAATCCCAGAAAAAGGGTGCGGACTCTCAACAAAAAGACAGATCCAAATAAGACGTGGATCCGAATCCAAGTCATGGCAACGCTCGGATTCTACCCCCAAAGTTGGTGATCTCGCCATAAATGCAAAATCAATAGTGGGCAGGTTCATATGGCTCTGGGTCAAAAATGGGTGCCCAAATGGAACCAGAGTCAATCGACACATGGACTAAAACCTGTGATCCCCTGGTGGTCTAATTTTGACCCATACCCATGTGGGTCTGGCACCTGCTCTGTTTTGCAGTACGAAGCCATTTTGGGGGCTCCAACCCGTGTGCTCGCTCCTGGATCGCCGACTGACATCCCTTGCCATCGGCAACACCTTACACAGTTCACTGAAAACATGCATCCACCAGGTCACCAGGAGTCTCCTTCTGACCCTTTAACAATGGAGACTCCATCCAGTTGCAGGCTTCACAAGGTCCGGGTAAAGCGGATTTAAAAAAAAAAAAAACAGGGCCGACATGTATCCCTTTTGCCCTGCCTTGAGGGACTAACAAACAGTCTTCAAGGTGAATGATAGAAGCTTGAGCTGTGCATTTCCTGCGTCTGGTTCAGTATTACGCACACAAAAGGGCGAAAAGTAGTCGGCCAAGCCCGACCTACTGTTGGACAACGGCCTGAAGCAGTTGCATGGAACCCCATCTGGGACAAACCACCTACCCATGCACTAGTGAATTGATTTTGCCCATCAGCATCTTTTGACTCAGAATGGCTCCGCGGCTTTTGTCAGATCTGGACATGTGACACGGTCTTTGGAGAAACAGAATTAAAACGAGACATCGTGCTCGTTCCTCTACTGCACCGAAATGGAAAATGGGTTGCCGATTTTACGGTGATACCAAAAGCGGGCTGCCCGTTTCCCGATCTGCTAAACGGAACTAACTTTTAGTGGGTGAGAACAACTCAAAAGCTAAGGAACCGGATGGCCTTCGGGAGCCACCAAGAAGTCCCACTCTCCACTTGATCACCACGGGGATCCTGGTATCACAGTGGCACAAAAAAAGCCGCGGTCTGCTCGTCGCTCAGACAGCGCCGAGCATTTCGAGAACTGGCATCGATTTTGGGCCCCTCTCACACACCGATTGGGGAGGGCTCCAGCTAGCTAGGTAGGTGAGTGTGTGTGTGTGTGTGTGCGTGGGGTATGTTTTTTGTTGCTTAAGTACATAGAGTCTCCTTCTGACCCTTCAAAAATGGGGTCATTACCCTAAATCATGGGGTCATGCACCTATTTTTAAAGGGTCAAGGAGACTCCAGGTACCCTATTTGGGCCTCCGTTGCCGGGGTCCTCTATAAGACACACCCCAAACGGAGCAAATTGAGCATGCTCATTGTGAGCTTGGGACAAACAGAGTCCCCTCGCTAGCTTACCGTCCGTGGGCACTGCGGGCCCACGATTCCGGGCTGGCGATCTGGACATGGGCGGTCTCGAGAGAGACTCCCAGCTCTTGTGAAAAAGCTTCCCGTCGCAGCTTTGCCTCTTGGGCCATACCTACGGTGGATGGACGAAATCCATTTCGCACCACCGTTCAGAAACCCTGGAATGATTCGATTCCTCTGTAAATACCAACCAACAATG